CTTTATTAAGCGTAACTGTTCAATCAATAGGCATATCGTTTTGTAAGCAGTGGAATGAATGTTACAAATTAACAGTTGTTTCTCGGCAAATACTGTTAAACGAGTATACTGCAAAGTTTTATTTTTTTTTATAGGTTTAATTCTTGTTTTTTGTCATTATTATTTTTTTATTTTTTGCATTTTGGTATTAAGATGCTGTAAAAACATTAAATCATTATTGATATATCTCAGGCAAACTGATTTATATTGGTAATAGTCTTTTTTTACTGTTACTATTATGGGAGTATTACTCGTATTTTATGTGGCGTTAGTTTGCTTCTATTTCTTCTACACGGTTGGCAGAAAAAGCTTTCTCGATGAAAAAAAAATTTCTTTGATACTGCATTATTTTTTGAGTATATAATTGTTTTTGTAAATGGTTAAGGAAATAATGTTAAATTGCTGCTATAGCAGTTTTTCATTATGACATACTGTTTGCTGTGACAGAAGTTGTCTACCGTAAATGTATCTTCAGAATTGTTCAAAAATTTGCTCTTATGATTTTCTGTAATCTGATGCTGTTTTTTTTTTTCCCACTTCCCTGTTGTTCTGCTAATCAACCTTTATCGAAAACTAAATTTTTGGAGCTTTAGAACAATTTGTTTAGAAACAAACAATGTCTTTTTTTTATATTGTGATTTATTTTATGCGCTTTCGTTCGCCGTTTTTCTTTTAGAAAGAATTTAAAGTTTTTGGGACGCATCTGTTGTTTTCATTGAAGCGCCTGACCAACGACTTTTACAATCCGTCTGTTTTGCTTTTATTCCCTTCCATGAAAAACAACAATCCTAACGTCTCTTGGCTTAATCCGTTCCTGTAAAGTGCTATTTTTGTTTTTGTTTTTTCCCTCTCTTTACACTTTCTACGCTTTTGACTTCACACGTTTTGGCTATTTCTTATAGTTGCAAAACCTAAATGGTAGTGTTCTTAGGTGTTTATTTTTTATTGGGAACAGTATTAAGTGAAGTTAATGGGTAGAAGATTTTAGAATTGCAAATACATTATATCATTCACAGTTTCTTAAATTTCTTTTTTCTTTACCGTAACTACTTAGGTCAATTTACAAACCTAAGTCTTCTTTTAATATTCTGATAAAATGATAAAAGTTCTTACATGAATGGTACTGGATGTGAAGCTGGAAACTGTATTTGACAGTTGAAAAGACGGATGTGTTTCTCCCTTATGCAACTTTTACATTATTACCATATTAAATTATAGCGCAGTGTTGAATAAGCAGGATTTCTCTGAAAAAATGTTTTTTTTTTTTT